CCCAAACCATTCTGTGATTCTATGATAATGTCAGTCACCACAAGACACACACTGTCGGTGTGTCCCACATCTTTTGCAGATAGCACTACCCAGCACTTCTGACTTGTTCTTCCACAAATGTCAAGGCATCTCCTCTTGAGGTGTTTGGTGCAGCTGCTTTGCCACTGCTGTACTTGAGACTAAAAGCAACAGGGTGGGAAATGTAAATGACGGGAATGTGGATGCACAGAGGTCCCCCTAGAATGTCATCTTGTACCTATAGGTAAACATTGTTGAGGGAACACGACTGGTAGTGACACAGCTGTGCTCTGAAGGCCAACCAGGACTACTTGTTCAAAAAGGAAGAAAGCTGCAAAACTTTTTTTAATGACTTTTTCTTCTCTTCTGTTTTTTAACCCATCTAATTTTCACTGGACTTTTGCTCAGCTGGCTTTTGCACAGCTATTGAAAACTAGAGAACACGAGGTATGAAGAGAGGCTGAGAGGATTTGGTTTATTCTGCATTAGAAGGAAGGTTAAGGGGTGAGATTTTATTGCTGTCAACAGCAACTTAATGGGAAGCTGTAGGGAAGATGGAACCAGCCCCTTTCCAGAGGTGCATGGGATTATAATAAGAAATTAAAACAAGGAGGAGATTTCTGTTAGATAAGAGGAAAAACATTTTCAGTGTGATGGTGGTCAAATGCTTGAACAGGGACACAAAGAGGTTGTAGAATCTCAATCCTTGCAGTTACTGGAGGCTTTCAAAACTTAACTGGACATGTTCTGAGCAACCTGATCTAATGGGACCTCCTTTGAGCAGGGGATTAGACCAGTTGTCCCTTCCAATCTAAGTTAGTCCATGATTCCATGAAACTTGCTACCCTGGATGTATGGTAGCATGTGAATCAGGAACCCCCTTGTTAATTATTTTCTGCAGATTTTGAACCATATGGAGATGATGGGCGAGATGGGAGGAGATAAATTACGTAATCCTTGCTCACTTCTTGTACTCAAATTTCAGTGAAATTGCTTCTGTAGCCTGATAATAACTGGAGAGGACAGACACATCTCATTGTGTGCAGCCAGCTGAACAGAGGCAATAAAAAGTCATTGCTCTGCTGCCTGAATTGTTGCAGAAGTGGCTAGCAGACACTGGTAGTGGCTACCACTTCCCTCCTCTCCCTCCTTTTTTTTCTGTAGAAGAGTTGAGTGAAGCACCATAGTATTTTGTTTCTATTCCTCCTGGTGAGTGTATGGCTCAGTGAGAGAGAAGCCCATGGCACTGAGTCAAGGCAGGCAGGATGGCATGGAGGATCCCAGCCTCGGCCTCTAGCACTGTATTTATTTATACCAGCAGTTGCTCCCTCTGCTATGCTCAGAGACAGTTGACGCTTCTGCTAAGATAATCAGTAGAGAAGCAGCTACCTCTGGTGCTATTTTACTTGCTGTCCAAGCCCCAGGTGATATAAGTAAGTTTACAGTTTTTTCATAGCTGTTTTTATGTTACTGCAGACTTGAGAAAACTGCATGAAAGTGGAGCTGCTATTGCAAGTGGTTTTCTACCACTGTAATTGTATTTTCTCTCAAAAATCCCACTGTAGACCCTTCATCTGTATGGCCAGGTGTTGATGTATTGTGTGCCCAAGTCTGTCCTCTGTTGCTTGTTTGATATTGGTTTTTAGGTAGTGCTAAGAATTAGAGGCCATTTAAGTGAAGAGTGTGTGTCTGGAAAGGCAATAAACACAATGGAGCCATCAGTCTTTGGAGAATGATTTCATTTTATTACAGCTGCAAGGGCTACTCACAAGTGCTACCTATTTGTGAGGAGTAACAAAAATAATTGCACAAAAATACACTTTGCAAAACCAGAGGGATTTTTGAAGAAAATGATGGATTTTAGGGACGGTTAAAGCACATGTTTTAAATCCTTGTTTGTTTCCAAAGGATATTTTTGAGCCTGTTAACTGATCTTGGCATGTTCTTGTTGCAGGAATGATTTTTAATGAAGATGATCAGCAGGTGAGAGACTTGGGCTATCAGAAGCATGCTTTCAATATGCTTATCAGTAATCGGCTGGGATACCACAGGGAGGTGCCCGATACAAGAGATGCAAAGTATGTACTAATTTTTGGAGATAATTGTGTTATTTTATGTGCTCAAGGACTTGTTACTCACATTATACCTGATGTAGTATTTAACATTTTTGGTATTATGTTTCTGTTACATACTCTCTTTCAGTCTCCTGTGTTGCTGAAGGCAGATTTTCAGCTATTTAAACAGGAGTGCTTGAGGTTAGGATTTGTGTTCTTTGGTCTCTTCAGTCTTTTTGACTGGATATTGTTTCTGGAGATCTAATTTTTTGCTAGGCATATGATAGGTAAAGGTATATGGTAGGTAATGGTGTATGATAGGTAAAGCCCCTCTGAAACCAGACTCCACGAAAAAAGAAAGACTGCTACTCCCTGAAAGCAAAGTTTTTCATTATTCTTAATGCATTTTAAGAATGCTTAGTGAAAAAGTAGATTGGATATATACTTACTGAAACTGTTACCATATTAATTTTAGTGAGTAGTAGGATTGGCAGACAGCTATTTTGATAGAATCAAGATTCTGAAAATAATACTTTAAATAAGAGTCAGTGTGGAAAAGACAAGAATCAAACTCTTTCCAGCAATACTAAGATTACATGTCCTATGTCCCTTTCATCTTGCTAGCTGTGTACTCAGTTCCTTAAAGCATGCTACGGTATTTTTATTTTTTGAGGCTTCATTTTGAGTTACTGAGTTACCAGAAGAGCTGCTATAATTCTGTTTGGTACCTTTGAAAGATGGACATTAAATGTTCCACTGCCCACATTAATGAGAAACTTTCACCTTACATTCTATTTCACATTTGTTGTAAGCCTACAGAGGGGAAGATAGAAGAATGACTGATGACAAGGGCTCTCTGTTTCTCAGTTGAGGTCCTTGCTTGGTTTGCACTGCTCTGAATACTTTCTGTTAAAAAGCAGATTTCTTTTTTTTTCCTATAATCTCTGATGCATATGGGGGGGAAAAAACCCACCACTGTACCAACAAGAAAAGGATCCCCAATATTGAATTGAAAAATAAATAAATCTGCATCTGTTTTTCTAGCGGTTTGTCTGGTGTGGGTAACTGTAATGAATCGTACTTGCTGACATGTCTCTCCCAAGAGCTGAGTTTGTTCCAAGTCAATGAAGACTTGTCTTGTACGCTTCTGGGTTTTCATTTATAGTTTCATATTTTTATTGGATCCCCTCATGCCTAGCATCTTCATGTGGCATTAATCTGAGAGACTGTGCCCTGTTAGAAGTATGGACAAAATTGGATAATAAGAAGAAAGATCGATCTGCTTTGAGTGGGATTCAGCTTGCAGATTAAGATGCTTAAACGTAGATAACTGCACGTTAGTCAGTTGTCTCTGCTTTTATTAGAATTAGCAGAGATCCTGTCAATGCAGTTAACGGAGCACGCGCAGCTCTTCAGCTGACAAAATGTGCTTGTCAGCCTGAGGGTGAGCAGAACGCTATCTAGACTCCACTGACAGCAGTGGCTAAACTTGTGTCTTCAGCAGGCTGAAGCTCGGTCTTGGTTGCCTAAATAGATATTAAGCACCACTGGAGGTATTCTGGAATATCCACCCTAGTCTCCAGCAACTGACCAGTGAAGTTGTGGGGTTTTTTTGTCGGCCTCATGTCATATTTGCCATTCCTGTACATGTCTGAGCTACCCGAGGGTACTGGACAGTGTTTTGACAGCTGAAACAAGTCCTTAATGTTTTCTCTTGTTTGTCTTGAGGATCTGTGATTCTTACTCCCACCCCAATCCATGATATCATCTGTTTTCTAACAAGTAGCAATGTTAATTGTAAGTCTGTATTATGTGGAGAGTAACTTATTATGTTGAGCCCTACTATCAATGTGATATGCCTGGGCTCTTTATGTGCGAGTTAGGGGTTCTTCTTACACATTTCATGTTTGCTTATTATTTATGAAGTTTCAGTAGTGACCTAGCCCTATGGAAATCCCACTGAAAATAGTGATAACTACTATATTTCTGTTTGCAGGTGTAGAGAGAAGTCCTACCCTTCTGATCTTCCATCTGCCAGTGTTGTTATCTGTTTCTACAACGAAGCGCTTTCTGCCCTGCTGCGCACAGTACACAGCGTCCTGGATCGCACTCCTGCACACCTTCTCCATGAAATTATTTTGGTGGATGACAACAGTGAATTGGGTGAGAGGACAGTTCAGTTACTTTTTGTTCAGTGCTTACACTGCTTGACCTTCCTGCCTCTTCCTGTGCTTTGACTCGTCAAAATAAAAACGTGGAAGCCATGATGCAAAACCAGTTTGTCCTGCAGTCCATCTCCAAAACGTGCCAGCTGGTAGAGATGCATGATGGTCTGAGAAGCCCAAGGTGACATCCCCTTTGACACCGGTGCCATTTTACTGATGAGCTTTGTATCATACAAACTTTGAACATTCAAAACCAGATTTTATAGAATCATAGAATAGTTTGGGTTGGAAGGGACCTTGGAAGGGTCTAAACCTCCCCTCTTTCAGTTTAAACCCATTACCCCTTGTTCTGTCATTAACTGCCCTTGTAAAAAGTCCCTCCCCAGCTTTCCTGGAGCCCCTTCAGGTACTGGAAGGCCGCTATAAGATCTCCCCAGAGCCTTCTCTTTTCCAGGCTGAACAGCCCCAACTCTTTCAGCCTGTCTCCATAGGAGAGGTACTCCAGCCCTTGGATCATCCTGGTGGCCTCCTCTGGGCTTGTTCTAGCTGCTTTAGCTGTTTTGAAACTAATAATGGGGAGTGTGTATCGCAGAGAGTGATGGAGCCGTTGTGTATAGTGTAGCTGTTTGTAACAGGACCTTGCTTGGGCGTTTCTGGTGCTCAGAGCAGATTAACACTGGTCTTTCCATGAACTTTGTGGGGCAATACTAATTGTGAATGCATCTGAAAGTTACTGAATGCAGAGTCTCAGCTGCGGTCTTGGAAGTGAGTTGATGTGGCACTATGGAAACAGTACGTCAGTTTCTTGTACTTGCTTAGCGCCTCAGACCGGTGGCGTGCGGGGATCGGAGCTCACTCAGCCTTTGCTGGCAGGGCTCTGCGTGGCTCTCGCACAGCCTCTTGTGGCCACCCTAGGAGAAGCTGTCCCTGGCTCTTGGTGGAGCAGCCTCTGGGAGGGGCCCTAGAAGGGTAGACATTGCAGAATTGTTTTGCTGTTGTTGAAAGATTGATGCTTTGGCATTTTTCTCTGGAGCGATGGACAAGGGAAAGACAGACACACAATTCGAGCATTTTAGCACTTCAAAAGTGAAATGCCTGTTGAGGAATGTGTTAGTGCAGCATATGTGCAAGCAGGACTGTGCAAGTTCCCTGCTTGTCTCTGTACAAATCCACAACTTTTTGCATTTTAAAAATGATTTTTAGATTTATTTTTTTTTAGTATATATAATTAACTCCCTTGGTCTCATAATTTGGTTTCTGGGTTAAGGTCTCACTTGCTCTAAGAGGCTGATTAAGCATGTACAATGCAGAATGAAATTCTAGTTCTCTAGTTCATTTCTCTGAGGTCAGATCAAATGTTAAGATAGGGAGAGAACAAAGATCAAACACTCTGTCCCTTGCTGATAAGAATGCGTAATGTTTAAAAGCTTGTTTTGTGTTTTGGAAGCAATACCCACTCTTTGCTACAAAGTCTCTTGTGCAATTTGTTGTTTTAAAATTTCGTAACATCTGTACTCCGAACTAAGCTTACTTCAAACCTCAGTCTTTTGAGCATGGTAATGCATTTGGTTAATGGCTCTTTTTAGGCAGTAATACCATTGCTCTTCTGGTCTGTTGTTAATTCAAAGGCCAAATGAGGTTCAAAACATCCAAGTAGCTACTTCTGCCTTTCTGACTGTGAATGAACATGTTTTGAAGCTGAAGATGGGAGGAGATACTATTCACTGCTCTTGATGATGATACTGATGTTTGCACTGCTGCTTAATTTTAACGGATGGAATTTTACAGCTGAAGAAAAACAAAGCTGGTTTGGTGGCTGAGGAATTGTCAAAGACTTTGGCTGTGCCATGGATCTTGTGTGAACTTGGGCACATTGTTTAATCTCTATGCCTCTTTTATTTTTATTTTTTTAAAGAAGTTTTCCTTACATTACATACTTCCTGAAATGGTCGCTCAGATGAAATTCTGCCTATTTCTTCAGCTTTAAATGTAGGAGCTGTGCTGCACCTCAGTGCTGTTGTGCAAAGCTTGGGTCTTTGCATCTATAGTTTCACCTCAAAAAGCTTCTTACACTCAATCATCAACAGTCTTACTAGCTAAGCAGGCATTTCCATGGCTCAGCTGAGCCCACTGTTATGTTTTTATTTCCCTTTGCTGCAAGGTAGGATTTCTTTTCCTAGTACAACCTCTTTCTCCCTGGTGTAGACTTTACCTGTTATGGGACAGGCTGCAGGATATGTTGAAAACTGTTACTAGAAGCATTCTTCTATGCAGAAGAAGAGATTGAAGAACAAAAAAGTGGCATCAGGAGCATGGCAAATTGTCTGCAACTCATCACTTTCTTAATAATAATAAGACCCCTGACTCCCATCCTAGATTTCCCTAGTTTGGAGGAGCCTTTGTTACATACATATGGAGCAAGGTAATGGTTAAAGTAATTTTTAGAGACTGCCTACTGGCTAAAAGGGAACAGTTCTCTCCTTGGAACAAAATTTCTCAGGCAGACTGTATTGAAGCAATTTTTTGGGGTTATGTCAGAAGAAATCAGTTTTCCCAGTGGACATGAAGCTGATTCACAAAAACCCATCAACAACATAAACCCCAAAAGGTGTCTGAAACTAAACTGTCTGTTGAGAAAGGTCCATGATATGTTTAGTCCCAGGCAATGTCTGGGCACAGTTTCCAGAAGAATGATAGTTTGTCCAGGTCAAAACTTTGCTCTGAGAGCATGTTAGGTGGTAGGTACTACTGGCTCTTACATTCTGCTGCTCAAGCCCATGTTGTTGACCTGGTTTAGCCCACTATGGACATGACCTCTTTTTTTTTCTTTTCTTTTTCTCTCTCCTGTGCTGTTTTCAGAAGTTTGCACATATTAGCCCCCTGTTTTCTGTAGTTGTATGCTGTCTTTGCTTTCCTATGATACATCAGGTGAAGAATGATTCAGGAACTAGTTTATTTTAGATCTGCAAATCCTTCTGTGCTGCTTTTTTGGGTATCTCATTTGGGTAGCATCCTAGAGATTACTTTCATCAACTTTTTAGGGGACTTTCTGCAAAAAAATAATTCCTATTGTCTCTAGCATATGGTGCCACATTCAAGACCAGGGGAGAGAATTCCTGTGATCCAAATGAGTCCTGTCTGCATCTCTCCAGAGACTTTTCTTTGTCCTAGAATATTCTCTAGCACCATAATTGCTCTGTGGTACCTTCTCATTCTTGATCCATGATGCTTCTTTGCAGTGCAAAGGCTGAGATCTTGCTGCAGTTGCTTCTGGGAATCTCCTTTTCAGTCTTCCTGCCTGAATATTATTGTACTCACTGAAGGTTACAGCTCTGGCTTCCACATACAGTCCTTTGGCACTTAATCTTGTTAACAACAACTTTAATGTTTGAACTAACATTCATCAGAATAATAATATTTATTCCATAAATAAATTCCATATCCTCTGTTGAAAGGCTGCCTGCTTCTCTATACCAGGGTTCTCTATTAAGACTCAGCTGGCTTTTTCTTTCTTCCTCATTTTATATTCCTCTTTATTTTACCATAAACTTGTTAACTTATGTTTTTCCATTACTTCAGTCTTCATGTGTCCATCTTCTCTTCAGTGCTCCTGCTTTAATGTTAGAAACCACTGTCTTCAGGTGGAAAAAGTATTGCTACGCTTAAAATCACCATTGATGTTAGTTAAGATACGGTAGTGCCTGTAGACATCAGTGAACTTTGCTCTCCTTCAAAAGCACATGCTTGCCAGCAGTGTCTTTGATCCTTTTGGATTTTAGAGCAGCAACCACCTGAGACTGAATAGTAATTCTTTTTATCTGCTGTTGCATCAGCTAAGCAGGTACAGATAATGAAAGGTGTCTTCACGCTGCTTTTTGAAGGTGTAAGTATTTGTTTTAGTGTATGGAATACAGGAATTTAAATTACTTGCCTGTGTGAAAAGGCCTTCATTACTTCTGCTGCAAATGACAGTCAGCATGAGAGGAATTTGGAAAGAGAAATGCTATTTCTTTGTACAGTGCTTTTTATTTTTTTCTTTAGCATGGAGTAATTCCTTTTAGCATGGAGTCTAGTAGTTCCAGTTAACTTGAGTTGTGTTGTTCTAAAGACTTTTCAAACAGAACAGAAAGGTAACAATCCAGTCTGTATTCAGGAAACCAAAGCTAAGTGTAAAACCTGAGACAGTGGCAGTGCATACAAAGTTAGTTGAGAAAATACAAGGGAGTGCTTATCAGC